GTCCTGTTTCATAACAGAAGGTCATATTTTGATTTGAAACCCCATAACATTTTCCTGATATGTTGATTTATGACAAACAATTGGAAAATTAGTCAGATTTAAATGATCATTACAAAATATTATCATATTTCCATAAGGGTGTTGAATTTGATCACTAAATTAATGTCAGCCATTTTTAAAGACCAAGGAGAGGGAGTGGTCATGGTGAAACATTGAAACATTTGGCATCTCTGAAAAGCCCTGAATGAGCTCTTTACAGGACATCCAGACTTACAACTGTGACATGTGAGGGCATAAAAATAATGTCCTCTACAGAGGACAAAACTCCATAACTGGTTGTCAGGAGGATAGAGAAGAATCTGGGCTTTCAAAAAGACACAAAAAGTTTAGAGTTTGACCATGACTTTCTCTGCTGGGTTTTTAGAAATGCCTGAAATAACAGTTTCAAATATTCAAGGAACCATTGATATACTATTTTATGATCATCAATTGTGTTGTTTATTGTAAATAATTTTCATTTTTTTTACATGGCCCCTGTAAAAGACATGAGGATTGATATATTCCTATTAAACTTTGACAAGATATTACACCAATTAAATTTTTTTTGTATTACAAATTGCCCCAGAACATTAATATGTACAACAATTTAGGAAATTAAATTGATATTTTTAAGGAAATTAATACTTTTATTCAGCAAGGACACAATAAATTGATCAAAAGTGACAGTAAAGAGAAAATTTGAAACGGAAGACAAAAATTATTTTGCCATCACAGGATTAAATTACATTTAAATTACATCTATTTTATCAAATAGAAACATTTTAAATTGTAATATTTCACAATATTGCTGTTTTTTTTTGTGAATTCATCATCAAATTACCACAGCCATTGTGAACATAAGAGACTTCCTACAAAAACAAAAAAAATCTTACAGACTGCAAACCTGAATGGTAGTGTATAAGGTTGACAAAGGTTGATCAAACTGTATTCTTATGCTTCATGGTTTAAAAAAAAAAGATGACAAAATTTAATTTAATTTGTCCCTTAGAATGCAGTTAGAAGCTAGGGCTGGGTAGTCAACAAAATTGTTTATGCATTACTCTACATCAATCATGCTTCTCAGTATAAACCTACATAAAGTGTTGAGAAACATAAATTGAATGAGCTGAATAACTGAAACAGTAAAAGAAACCTTCCTAAAGTTTGAATGGAATCAAAGCAAACAAGTGGAGGACCAGATATAATGACAACAGACCACACTTTTACCCACTTAAACTCACATACAACATAAAATACTGCACACAGGCACACAAAAGACCATCAACATTAAAGGCACAGCCCCAGCTCTCATAGAAACCAGCATGGTTAGATTGGACAACATGTATTATGAGTGCTTCTGCATGCTCAGCCTATCTACAGTCAATGGCGGTGTACGTTCCTGTAGTGCATCCAAGCAGAAGCAATGCAGCAGTTACAGGGCATTCCAGCAGCATGCACCTCACCACAGCCAAAAACTTACTGCACGGCTACTGAATACTCTTGAATAAGAAAAATAAAATTGTATTCTGGTGATTCACTCAGCATCCACATGTGATGGATATAGGAGGGAAACAAAATTGGGAGGGAATGGCAACTCAACACTGAGAACACAAATGCTTTGTCACATTATTATTTTGAAAATGTAACATAACATAAAATACAGTATATGCTACAAGGAACTGACCTTTTATGAATCTGTGCCATATTACAATATGTTGTCTTATAAAATAACACTTCCCTCATGGCATTATGACCCCCCCAAAAGAAACGGTCCATAAACCTTCAGCTGTTTATTGGTATGAGTGAACAGACATTGACATCAAGGTCAATTCACTTGTATAAGAAACAGCTAAATTATGATGGAGCATCATAATATCAGTCCTTGTGGTGAAGAAAAGCACATATTAAGAACTAGGTTACCCAAGAGTGGGAAGAAGAATGCATTGAATGCAAAAGACAAAAAAAAAAAAAAAACGAACACTCTCTTAAAATAAATACATTCATCCACATCAATATGCCTTTACAATTTTAGCTGTAGAATGCAAAAAAGTGCTTTCAAATATTTATTTTAAAGACAGTCATGTTTACCGTAATTCAGATAGGGCTCTTACTCCTACAGTACATCTGGACTATTCTTAGTAACATCAAAACAACAATCAGTACTGAATGTACATGATCATAAGGAAATTGATTTTTCAGATCATTATTATAAATGCAACAACCAGATTCTAGACAATCGTATGTGCTGCCTCATAGCATAGTGTTAATATTTGATTTGATCTCTTAGCAAAGTGTGCACTGTTATTACCTCGGCCTATGTCTGAAAGGACATACAGTATATGAAAGTGGGAAAATTACAAATATTCAGATTCAGAGACTTCAAATCTGTGTAGGGGCATGAAATGATATATACAATGTACTATAAACCCCACACACTCCAATATAATGTGCACTTGAACACTTTTGTTTTCGCCAAATACAATTTTCATGACTTCTCCAATTGTTTGTGACTACTTGAAAATGATTTCAGAGACTGCATTCACAACATGCCATTTCTATAACTAGAAAATGTTATATGCAATAAAGATATTTCCATGACTTCAGGTTTCAAAATCAATTTAAAAAATCCTGATCACCGCGGGAACCTTTACAGAGAAAAAAGACGAGGCTTCAAAAAATAACACATATTAGCTTGGTGAAGAACAAAATGATGCTGACAGCTTTAGCCTAGTTATTCCAGCATTAAACTACTTACATAAACATACCAGTGTTAAATCACATACCTTCACTCAAAGACAAACAAACTGAGTTCACATTGACTATAAGAGTGAATCTTGAGGAAAGGCATCTTTATATTGCTAGTTAACACTTGCAAACCCAACAACTGAAGCTGAAAGGTAATTAGGCTCGTAGCAGAGTACAGGGGAGCATCTGTCTCATAACATCTCCACTAGAGCCTTAAAGGGTTAGTTCACCCAAAAATGAAAATTAGCCCATAAATTACTTGCCCTCAAGTCATCCTCGGTGTATATGACTTTCTTCTTTCAGACAAATCCAGTCGGAGTTATATTAAAAATGGTCTTTGATCTTTCAAGCTGTTTAATGCCACTTAGTGGGTGTTGCATGCATCAGTCCAAAATAAGTTAAATAAAAAGCGTCCATCCATAAAAAAAGTGTCTCACACGGCTCCGGGGGGTGAACAAAGGCCTCCTGTAGCGAATCGATGCGTTTTTGTAAGAAAAATATCCATATTCAAACGTAATAATCACTTTAATGTAGCTTGCGCTCACTGTTGTAAACAGAAGCAGTTCCGAGTGGATGACGTATGATCTTTGACTCGATGCGTCTGAAAGAAGAAAGTCATATACACCTAGGATGACTTGAGGGTGAGTAATTTATGGGCTAATTTTCATTTTTGGGTGAACTAACCCTTTAAATGCTGCTTTGAACCTCACTCCAGTCAGCATTATGATCATGAAGAAACCTCCATCCATACTGAAGATCAGTGATGGAGAAGACAGGATTAACACGTGCACCAGTGTGTGTTTGTGCGTGCGCGCATTCAGGACTAGTTCGTGTGTTCTTCTGTCTGGCTTCATTTAGTCTCTTTCTGCTCTTTACATTGCCAAATAAACTAGATCCAGTCGGAAATCTCCCATGCGCACTAATCTGACTGTCTGTGACGAGAAGGGTGGATTATACACCATCAGGACGGTAACAGACCGCAGACATTGAACACTGTTGGTTAATAAGTGCTCAATGGAGCAGACGACATTCTTATGATGTTGCTGTAAATGTCCTACCTTCCTCTCCATGGCTGATGGTTACTGTGGCCGGTTGTTAGCGAAAGGGCAGCGAATGGCAGATGAAGAGGCGGATGTGTGTCCGGCGCGATGGAGATTAAGTTCTTTATAGCTTGAAGCACAAGAACACACACACTCCCTGTTGCTCGGTGCTGAAGTGACTAGACAGCGAGGCAGAGCGGAGTGAAGAGGGGATGCAGCCAGAGACGGTGAGCGCTGAGGCGCAAGCGCGTTCCCCGCTGCTTCGAATAAAACTCGGGGATTTAGAGGGAGCGTCATCAAATTACGCGCCGCTCCAGTCAGTCACTAACACGGGCCGTCGGAATACAGTGGGAACTTTGTCGAACAGGCCTAAAATACTACGCAACTTGAGCGTGAAAAGTCCGCCAAATATCTGCACACGAAGATGAGAGTAAAGAAGAGATGGTAGTAAACTACAAAGACCAGTTGTCGCACACAAGCAGCCAAGAGCTTCTTCCTCATAATGACCGCCGTCGATAATGTGACGCTGACAACAGCTATTAAAAGGGATTATAAAGGGATAGTTCACCCCAAAAACTAAAGTTCTGTCATTACTTATCGTTATATATCGTAAGTTCATACAGTGAGCAATCCTTTTATGTAACTATTGATTTTATTGAACTAATTTTTAATGATGCGTTAGCCTAATTTGTACTTCCCTTGCGTTTTGCCCATGTCCAGTAAGGCTCATCAAACATTCACTGAACAATGATAGTATTCCAGCACTTCACTCATGTCATTACAACCCTCAGAAGAAATTGTTCATGAACCTTCAGATGTTTCTTGATATTAGTGAATGTTGACGTCAGGGTCACTCCTCTCATAGAAACAAATTATGATAAGAGTATCACAATATCATTGCTGTTGGGCTCAGAAGAAAACAGAACTAGGCTACATAATCCTGAAGCCTGGGAAGCATAATGTGGATAACTACTGATGTCCCATCATTCTTCAATACTGCACTTAAGTCACATGAACTGCAGAAAGTTGTGCTTTCAGAAGTATTTATTGGAGTTGAGACGCAGTTATTTTCACCTTATTTAAGAAGGTATGGTAATGAGATTCCTACCAACAACCTTCCTGATGCCGATGTCCAACTTCACTCTGACTTACTCCTGACACTTGTATTAGCTGTCTATCAGATGTTAATGTCAAGGTCACTGATTATGTCAAATCTAGTCTCAGAATACATATATTTCTTTCTTCTTTTTTTCCCCAAGTTAATATGTGCACAGAAGGACACACTGCTTTCCCCCTGAAAACACAACATGTAAAACAATCATGTTGAAGAGTACCCAGTGCTACTGACACAAAGACATCTGCTTAACTGAGAAACACCTTTAAAGTTTACTTGTGTTTGCTTTTATGCTTACAAAAAGAATAGTATTCACTATTACAGTTGGAGGCCCAATCTAAAATTTTAGTTTCTGTTGGCCTGATGGCAGTGACCACTACATTGCGCTTGGGTTCACTATCATAGCTGACGCTTTCCACACCATATGCCTCCGCTAGCTCATGGATAATTCTCCTGTGTTCACGCTTCATAGGTGGAAAACAGTGACTCCTCTTAGACTGTTTACCCTGAGGAAAAACACAATTACAGAGCTCTGAAAAATGATACTAGAAGTGCTTGGATAGTGCACTGAAAAAAATGTTTCATTCATCCAATTAAAAAAATTTAGGGTAATGGCAAGTTATTTATTTTTCATTGGCTCAAGTAAAAAAATATAGATGTGAATCATTACCCAAAATTTTTTTAATTGGATGAATGAAAAAAAATTTTCAGTGTGGATAGTCAACTATTTATAGTCTGATCATTGGTCTACATTTTACCTTGTTAGCCAGTTCAACTAAATTCTTAATCTCCTCCTCAATTTCACTGACAAACTTGAAATCTTTCCTGAATTAAAAAAAAAAAAAGGTTTCATTAGTTTAAACATTCAGGCCTTCACTTGGCTCCGTAGTAGACTAAACATTTAATTTATTATGTGTGTATATTCTACACATCATTTTTTTCTTTAAACTGTCAAAGCAAATGTGCAAGAACCCAAACTCGACTGGCAATTCTTTAGTGCACGGTTACTAGTGATGTTTAGTCATAAGCATTTATTGCTTTTATAAGTAGGCTGCAATCCCCATTAATATGTTTAGAGCATGCATGCTTTTGAAAATACAGTCCTGTACAGTTTATACACTTGGCAAGCAACTGAACCTATTAAGTGTAGTGAATCAAACTGTAAGACTGTTTTTAAGAATGCAACAGAAGTATTTTAGTAAAATGGCTGGTGCCTTCATAGTGAGCTCTTTCTCAGAATTTGAGCTTAGTAATGTCTCATTCAACCATGTCCTAGCTTTATGTACTGTTCAAACATTCTATTTTAGAATTTACACCACCTTGCATCTTCTTTGAGAGAGTCACTATATTTGGAAGACGTTGACTTGTTGAAGGTATCCACTGACTGATCAATCTGCAGGGCCTTAGCCAGCCGCCTCTAGTGGCAAAACAGAAAACATCAAAACCTGCACACCGACACACAGACATATCTAGTAATATATTCAGGCACAGATAGAGGAAAAGATTGTGTGAATAAAATCTTTATGTTGACCTGTTCCTCTCCAGTGTAGCACATTCTTGATCACACTCCAACCTGTGAGAGAACAACCAAATAAAAAGATTACTCCACAACTGAAGTACATTTCTAACAATGCTTACCTTCTGAGGTAAAAGTGCCACTGGTAATTTAAAACCCAAAATCAATTTTTACTTGCATTTTGTGGTTAGTGTGTGTTAATTCTGTACCCTGCTCTCCTTCAATGCAGCTTTGAACTTGTCAGAAACAGCTAAAACCACTAATGCTGTCGTTTACATAAGATAAACACTGACCCACAGACTACTCTTCTGGATGACTAATAAAAACAAACAGCCTTGCAAGCTTTAGTCTGTGAGTATACCTGGCCTTTCTCTGCTCTTTCTTTGTGAGCTGTCCAATGTCTACGGACTCTCCCAGCTGCATATCTGACAGCTTACTGGCAACGGCAATAGCTGCATATCTGCAGAATATAGAGACCAAAATTATATTTGACCTCCGATCAGCTAGAATGTACAACATTGATAGCAATTTTTGTCTTATTTGCATATGTATATAATTCATTTTAAATGTATTGGCTTGCTGTGGGTGCACAATCATCAGTGGGGAAAGAAAAGAAAATGCCAAATTATCAACATAAAACTTTGCTTTGAATGTCTATGAAGGCTTTGATAGCAGGGCGTGTTTTAACCTTTGGTAGGAATGGTTAAAACATTCCTTCCTTGTGAACAGCACAAGGAATGGGCTCTTTCTTTCGGCCACAGTCACACTGCAGTGCCACCTAGAGATTGAAAGTGGGAAATAAGTATGGCTATAATGTAAGGCTCACCATTTTGAAAACTGAGTGTCTGAGCTTATATATATATATAAAAAAGAGCTCAGCTGAAGACCAACCGCCACCAACAGGAACATCATGAGAAGCTGTTTTGGATCGAACATAGATACATGTGGGGTTAAAGGAAATTTCTCATTTTCAAACTGTACACAATATGTTTTGAACAAGATGCATCCATAAAATAAATAAATGCTTAAGTAAAATAAAATAATAAACATATATTTGTGTGTGTTTGTTTGTGTGTGTGTGTGTGTGTTTTGTTTTTTTTGCAAATATGATTTATTTTGAAGCAATATTCTCATCAGTTTTCTATCAGCTGTGACATATAAATCTGTGTGTTTCCATATATATTATCCAAGGGAATTAAAAAAAAAAATCTTATTAATACTTTCTTTTCAAATTCTTACATTTGGTCTATAAATTAAATTATAATAATGCATTAAATAATATTATGAGATTCTTTTAAATATTTTTGAATATACAAACAAGAAATGATGGTGGAAATGATACTTTTCAACGAAATTAAAACGCCAGTAGGTGCCAGTAGTGAGCGTTTAATGATTGAGTCATTCAAATGATTCGTTCATGATGAAACTTTGACTCAACCGATTTGTTCAAAACACGGAATCAATCAGCAATGAATCGGCTGGTTGCTGTGAGATGCGCTGTTTCTATGGAATAAAATCGCTGTCAAAAATAATCGTACGTAATTCAAAGCATTTGTGTGTCATTTTAATTTACTCGTGCGTAACTGTCATAGTCGTACATTTTGGAGTTGTACTCTAACAAACACACAAAATCTCGTATCTGTAAACTGTCGTGGCCGTAGATTTTGGAATCCAACACTGACAAAAAACAGAATTACATACAATACTTTTAAATTACGCACGAGTAAATTAAAATGACACACAAATGCTTTGAATTACGTACGATTATTTTTGACAGCGATTTTATTCCATATGTTTCCGCCTAAAATGTAAGTGACCTAATATTATTGTATTTGTATGAGGGGCCGTATAGGCCATAATTATTGAAAAGCCTCCTACAAACACTAGTGAAATGAAAAACATTGATCACCCGTACTGAAATACATTCATACGCATTACTGAAAAATCTCTTACATACACTAGTGAAAACCTTGATCAGCCTTAGTGAAATTCATTCACTCTTCAAATTCATTCATACGCATAACTGAAAAACCTCTTACAAACACGAGTGTTTCACTCGTTTCGTAAAGATCAACCGTAGTGAAATTCATTCATATGCATAACTCATCTGAATGAGGCTCCTTTTCACAGTCTAAAGTCCACGTCATTATACTAGGACTTTTGCACCATTCAAGCCAGCGAATGATCACCCCCTGCTGGCCGGACTAAAAGTAGCTCAGGCAGCAAACTACATTTTCACAAACGGTCTCCCACCAGTGCACCGACCAGGCTCTGGCCTGCTTAGCTTTAGTGAAGTTTTTGTTATTTTATTTCTTAAAATAACACAAATTTCATATATTCACAGCCTTACATTTGAAGTATATGCAGAAAACAAAACAAACAAACAAAAAAAGTTAAAACATTTCCGGCAAAATTACATTAAAACCAGACCATGGTTTTTACAATGTATGGGTTATTTTCTACAATATATTTGTTAAATACATCCATTTGTCCATTCATATTAAAATAATCATATATGTCCTCTGTCACTGCAGTCAAATACTGTTTAAATAAGTTACATAATATCAGTTTTTTCTTCAATTTCATTATATTCCTTCGTCTCCAAATCGTATATCTTGCTACTGTTAACCATAAATTTAAAGCATAAACATTTTTTGCTTTTCCATTAAAGCCAAATAAAAACAATGTTTCCCATTCCTCTAACCAATCATTCTGATCACTTAAAAAATCCCCCACAATTTTGCTTAACATCTTCATAAAATTGTCAAATTTTTTTCATTTGAAAAACAAATGTAACACTCCTTCATCTTTTTCCATTCTTAATTTACATTTTGCATCTTGTGCCATTCCAATTTTTGCCAATTTCATTTCAGTCATTAAAACCAGTCAACAAGAAATCAAAATGATCCAATACGGGACTTTTAAATTTCCATCTTACATTTTTCCAAATCTTTGTTACATCTAGATCACAAAAAAAAAACCTTTCCCAAAAATCAACTGCTTTTGGTCTTACAAATACAAGATCACATATACAAACATAAAACATTTTAAGAACACAGCCCTTGAAAGGAATCTGTTCATCATTTCTTTTAAAAATATTTCAGGTTTCTCATTTCCTGTTTCTTTATCTTCAATGCTTTTAATCCATTGTAGTGGCACAGCTTCTTTTAATTTTAGGTATTGTTCCGTAATCAACTGTCTGTTTTCTCTATCTTCATTCTCCTCTAGTGTATCTATAATTGCATGTATAGGTAAAAATCCTGGTTTTACCTCATATAAAATGTCTTTAACTTGCCTTAATCCTGCATAATACCAATTCTTATAAAAAATTATATTTCTATTGCTTGTAATAAATTTGTTTAAGAAAAGGGACTGTTTCAATAGTTGATCTCTTCCTTTAAACTCCACATGAACATTCGCTTTAAAAACTTTCCATGCTCTTAAGACTTCTTTATAAAATTCAGGTATCTTCTCAAGCATATTATCTTTAAAATTCATCCACAAAAAAATCATCCCCCATGTTCCCACACTTATTTATAAAGAAACTCATTCTTTTTTTCCATACTATATCATCATTATTCAAAAACTTTTTTATCGTTTTTATACATTCTTACCATTGGATCTATGAGTCTCAAACCTCCCTTTTCCACCTCCCCAATTATTGTGTCATATGCTATTTTTGCAGGCTTATCATCCCATAAAAACTTTAAAATATAAGTTTTTATTCTTTTGTACGCCCATGCTGGCAGACTAACCACACTTAAAATATACCACATCTTAGACAGAAAAAAAAATATATTTCTATTTCTTGTAATTAATTTGTTTAAGAAAAGGGGCTGTTTCAATAGTTGATCTCTTCCTTTAAACTCCACATAAACATTCTCTTTAAAAACGTTCCATGCTCTTAAGACTTCTTTATAAAATTCAGGTATCTTCTCAAGCATATTATCTTTAAAATTCATCCACAAAAAATCATCCCCCATTTTCCCACACTTATTTATAAAGAAACTCATTCTTTTTTTCCATACTATATCATCATTATTCAAAAACTTTTTTATCGTTTTTATACATTCTTACCATTGGATCTATGAGTCTCAAACCTCCCTTTTCCACCTCCCCAATTATTGTGGCATATGCTATTTTTGCAGGCTTATCAAACTTTAAAATATACGTTTTTATTCTTTTGTACGCCCATGCTGGCAGACTAACCACACTTAAAATATACCACATCTTAGACAGAAATAAAGAATTTAAAACCAATACTTTCCCTTTTAAAAACAATTCTCTTTGTTTTCAAAAGTTTAGTCTTTTTTTCCATTTTTCCTATAACCTCCTCCCAAATCAGGTCTCTTGTTTTCATTTCATCTTTCCCAAGTGTAACCCCTAAAATCTTTAATTCATTCCTCTGCTCTTTAAATTCCCATTGTCTTTCTAAAGTATCCACCTTCCCTATCCTCATATATTCAGTCTTTTCTTTATTGACTTTAGCTCCTGTTCCTCCACAATATTTTTCAAATATTAACATTGCTTTTTCAATACTCTTTAAATCTTATAAAAACAAAGTCATGTCATCTGCATATTGGAATATTTTTTGCGACATTTCATCATTTTCCACTAAAATTCCTTTTATCTGTTTTTCTTTATTTATTGCTATTCCTAACGGTTCAGCAACTAAAGTATAAAGTAATGCCGATAATGGGCGGCGATGACCTACAGCCAATGAGAGACCAAGATACAGGGCAGCGGGAAGTTCGGGGAGGAGTTTTATGAAACTAGTTTGCAGACCAGTGTTGCCAAATCCGCGATTGCCGCCGGTTGTTTTTTATGTCAGCAGGTTGAAGCGACCCCAATAACGTGATATTTATGCCCTGGAATGTGAATTGTACCAAGAGAACCCCGCCAAAAAAATTGTATTTTACCCCTGAAAGCGATTTTTACTGGGGGACCCCCTCAAAAGCAATTGGGCTATTTTCAGGCTAGTTTTGAGTAGTAATTGGGCGGGTTTTGTAGCGAAAACCTGGCAACCCCGCACCAGACAGAGCTGTCGGCGATTCTTCCTATTGTGAAGTCATGCAATGTGAAACTCCCTGTCGCCGATCCATCGTGCAGTGTGAACACAGCAGCAACTGAATGCTACCCCAGATAGTCAAGCAGTGTGAAAACAACAGTGATGTGACGTCTTTGAAAATCGTGCAGTGTGAACTCGGCATAAGACTTTTGCACCCATTCAAGTCAGCGAATGATCACACCCTGCTGGCCGGACTTCCAGTCCATCCTTATGGACGTGACATAAAGTGATGGTGGCTGGTAAAATATTCTTCTCTAAATGGTAAAATAAATTGCATAAAGACGACACAAAACATCTCTTTGTTTTATTTAGTTTCATTTACTCAAATACTTTAATATTATTGCTGAGATGATAATATTGCTGAGATGAGAGGCCGTCACCAACCTCACACGAGAAGCCATAATTAACCTCTTAACGTTACCTGTAATGGAGGCTTCAGCCAGAACTCAAGACAGCTTTAGACGAGATTTCCTCAGAACTGCGGAGTATATGATAATTCAACTGAGAACCGATAAGGAGAGGAATTGTTGTTGTTCTTCTTCTTCTTGTTGTTGTTTTATGGCGGGTGGCATCCAACGTTAAGGTGCATTACCGCCACCTACTATACTGGAGTGTGGACCAGAGTGACTAACAGAACTTTATATATATAAAAAAATTAATAATTTTTATATATAAAAAAAAAAAAAAAAAACACACACACAAAAAAACCCATTATTAATAATAAAAATAACAATTTCTGATGTTCTCCTATTGATAGATACTTGTAAAGATGGAATGGTAAATGCATATGCTGTTCTTCCTGTAGGATCTTTGGATCCGTCTGTATATATTGCTACATAATTCTGATACAATGTTTGAGAGGAATTGTTTATGAGCTACAGTGCTACACTGATTGAGTTGGTGCTAGTTGTGCTGAATCTGCTCGTCCAATCAGAGGACAGAGATCCGAGAGGTCGCTGACAGACACACACGTGACTGCAGCTTCACAGCTGTGACTCACGTAACAATATTTACATCTCAAAATGGTCAAAATACAAATTGTATTTCATTATTATTTTCATAACAACACTCCTAATACTATTTCTAGTTATATGTACTATGCACATTTTAATTTGTTCTTTCTAGAAGTACGTTTTTTCCCCCTCATATACCTTGGCAATAAAAATATATTTCAATGTGCACTTTGTCGCTATAATTTACAGAAATATGTTAAACAGGATTAATTCTTCAATAAGATTAGAAACATATTGTTTTAAGCATTCAATATTTTTCTCATTAAATTTTAGCATATAAAGACAATAGTCGTACTGAAAATCAGCACACTCACTTAATAAATAGGCCTACGCCAGAAATAGCAATAAAAGCTGTTTTATTTTATATGAACCTGATTGTCTCATCGGACATTTTACTCGTTATGTAACTCACCTGTTATTGGACACTTTCACTCGCAGAATAAAGTAATCATAGCCGATTATGAATAGAGCATTTCTACAATGGTATTGGCAACTGAAACCTTTACCAAATATATTTGCATATAAAGTGCAACACATTCTACCACATAACTATAAATACTGTTCATAGGATTCTCATTTGATGGTATTGACTATTTTTCCCCATACTATAGAAGTCAATGGCAACCGTTCGGTTACCAATATTCTTCAAAATATCTTCGTTTGTCTTTTAACACAAGAAAGAAACTCATAAAGGGTTGTAAATTATGACAATTTTAATTTTCGGTTGAACTATCCCTTTAAGGATAGTGATATTGTGAGACTTGAGTTGCTGCACACATTCATTTGGCCATAACATTTAATCGAACCTAACTGCTATAAATATTCATACATATACCCACATAATATAGCCTTTAAGAGAGAACAGGAATAGAGACATTAATTCGAAAGACCAGATGCATGAAAGGAAACTGTCTGTTTAAACAACTTCATTATTTAATCAAATTGTATAATGTAATCAAATTGACAGTAGTAACACACGAGTACACAGATTACAGCATTGTGTATTTCACTGTCTCTCAATGTGTGGCACAACATGAAGATTATGATTATCAAAAATTCAGGTTACTAATATGTTTGTTTCCCCGAATTTTGAGACCAGGCATCACTGCTGAACAGAAAATTGATCTCATTCAACAAACACTGAGATTAAGTTCGACCTTACATTAGTGTGCACTCACGCACATTCAGATAGATTCAATGTCACACACATACATACAAATTCAGGTTACATCTGCTGAAAATAATCAGGTCTTCCAGTGAAAACCTTGATTTTTGGTGAGACACCCTGTTATGAGGATAAAATTGGAGACAACTGTATCTCCCTTGCATGTATGCTTAAACACCTAACATTAAAAAGAAAGAAAGAAAAGAAAATCTCAGGAAGTGCCCCAATGCATAGGTTTGCTGAAATAATTGAACAGAAGACAAAAATATCTACCATTGTCCATTTCAACTGGTTGTACAGTATTAAGGAAATGTTTTACAATTTGGATTGGCTTTACAAGAGTGTGTGTGTGTGTGTGTGTGAGAGAGAGAGAGTTGACAGTTCTTTGGTCACAATACTTGAAATGTCTTTTCAGGAGAAAGTAATATGTGCCATAATTAATTTCATTTTATACGGATAAATATTGTAAACCTTCAAACTCAAAATCCATTATTAGTGAACACGATGGAAAACATTATTTAGAACAAATTGAATGTTTATCATATAAGGTTGTAATATGCTGTGTTAATAAATACTGCTTGTAATCTATCAAGCTGAAATGACCTTGACAGTAGTAGGAGAGCTCTTATTTCACTATGTCAAATATTATAAAACAAACAAATGTCTCTGTCCGGCTAAGGACTGACAGCTGTCAGTAGACACCACCTGTCTTGTCTTTCAAGTTGAAATCAGTACGGAACCTTGAATTCAACTATGGCGTGTTTAAGGGATCATTGTGTACCATAATATTACAACAAAACAACAAAAAATCAAAACAAAGACACACACAAGCAATCTCACAAGCGCCTGTCTTGTAAATATGCATTAGTAACATAAGATGAGAAAGAAATTAACTTGGAAAAAAGCAATATACAGTGGGTACGGAAAGTATTCAGACCCCCTTAAATTTTTCACTCTTTGTTATATCGATACATTGATGTGTAAAGACACGAAACGATCGGTCTGTGCAACTGAATAGTATTTATATCGTTTTTTACCTCTGATTCATCGCAATGTCCACCATTTTGGAACGTATCGCGGCCCATAGAAACAGTCACTAATGAGGCATCTACTTATATATATCTATGTCTACTATGCCAGAGCGCGTACACGCGTCACACACCGGATGTTCTGACCGCGCTCAGGACAATTGGACATTGCGGTGGATCAGAGGTAAAAAATGATATAAATACTGTTCAGTTTCTTGCACAGACCGATCGTTTCGTGTCTTTACACATCAATGTATCATCACGAGCCGCAGGGTTTAATTTGGTTTTGTTTGCGTATGTTTTTTTTACTCTCAAAGCCGTGGAGCCCATCCACTTCCATTATATGACTGACAGACTGCAACGGTTTGAGTTAAAAATCTTCGTTTGTGTTACTGAAGAAACAAAGTCACCTACATCTTGGATGCACTGGGGGTAAGCAGATAAACATCACATTTTCATTTTTGGGTGAACTATCCCTTTAAGTGGATGTGTGGAAAAATGGTTGAAATATGGTTGGATGAAAAAAATATTAATTCATACTATTGACATTTGTTCACAGAACATTTTCCAACTGTATCCAAACAAGAGGAGGAGACAACAGTATCTGCAACTAAAGTCATCCAACATACTCCAAAATATCCATTCAAATCGAAGAGATGAAGTCATAAAGGAATAGGAAAAAACATAAAAACACTACAAAACCCGTTTGAAGATATATAAAGGTCCGTATAAGATTTCCAACACATATACTGAATGAATGTGCATTTCAGAGACTGTCAAGACAAAAAAAAAAATCTCTCAGCGAGGCACATCAAATCAGAGAATCAAATGTAACTGCATTCAGTTCAATTATGATTTTGAGGGTAAAAGGTCAAAACCTCATCCTGTACAATCAGCAAACAAAAGCTGTTGCCCACGTCATGCCAGGAACCGAGCAGAAGCTGCTGGGCCGTTATTCATCCAGCTGATTACCAAACGTTTCCTCTGAATGTGGATTGTTTTGTTTTGAGTGTTAAAAGCTAGATCCAAGCATTTGTTTCTGGATGCCTCTTCCATTCAGTCACCACACCCTCACTGTTTCCAGTTTCATCAGTGATTTGGAGGGTTGGTGAAACTTTATGATTAGAGATGTGTGGATTTGTAGCTAGACATCAAGAAGGTTGCTGGGCTATGTGTGACTTAAGAAGTCAAAGGTCAAATCTCAGCACTGCTCTGATTCAATAAAGCCTTCTTTTTCTTGACCCACAGGCTCTACCTCTGCATATACTGTATGACCAGATCCTCGGCGAAATTTCATCGCTGGCCATCGGCTGGGGCGTCTCTGTAAATGTATGAAATTGATATTAATAAATGATTTTGTTTTAAATGCACTCCCCACTGCTTTTTTTTTTACCATGAAATATCAGTTAAAACATCATTCAGATGGTAAACTGACTTCTAATAAGGTGAATGGCTAATGTTACTTTCCTGGGAGTATATAAGTTTGGAGAGCAGGTACGAAATTCCATAAAACAGGGTGTCCGCGGGTCCTTAAAAAGTCTTAAAATGTCTTAAATAACGTTTTCCTAATATAAGGCCTTAAAAAGTCTTAAAATGTCTTAAATTCGGATTCGATGGGTCTTAATTATTTTTGGTCACATTACCGCTCAAATATCTTCAGTCTGATGGACCTAATGACTTTACAATCATTGGACAGGCCGAAGATTTTTTCTTCCCGCGGTAAATTACTGCGTCATCAGAGAGAATTGCAGTAAATTAGCAGAATACAGAATACAAGCTCGCGCTGAGTCTCACTTTGTTTGTCTCGAGACTTCAGCACAAATGAGCGTGACCGCACACATAATATACAAATGTGATATAGATTTTTTACAACAGTTCAATAAACTAGAAGTTTTATTAAGAGACTTACGTTTTAGACACCATATTGCCTGTTTTTGCACTATTTCGCCAACAAAAATAATTCCAAACAAAGCCACGGCGCTGTTTTGTGTCTCTGAGCAACATGACGCTGTTTCGTTCCCGAATGAATCAAGTGTTTAAATGATTCGGTTCAGTCGCAATGACTCACTTAACAGTGACTTACTGCCACCTACAGTCGGTTTTAATTTCACATTTAAAGTATCTTTTTTTTTTAAATTATTTCAAATATCAGTATTCAATGTTTTATGTTTAATATATCAAAACATTATTTATGCATTTGTAACTGCAGGTTAAATGCATTCATGTCCTGCATTAAACTGTGTGTAAATACATCTAAATGCCACTTCAGATGCAGCTTAGGTCTGTATTGCAAAGATGAATTTTGTTGATACTGATTTCATTTGCTTGGTAACAGCCCAAATGTCTTATTATTCTTATTCACAAGTTAAATGTAAGAATTTGACTCAAAACATAATGCACACTTATAGAAAAATTGCTTTATATTAAGGTAAAATGCCCATAAAAGGTAAAAATCTATTTAAACTTATCTGACCACCACACAGAATATGAAGAATATCAAAAACTTTAGGAGTCAGCTGTCCACGAACGTCCTTAAGATAGCAGCATGATAACACACTCAATCAGTTGAATGAATGACTCAATACTCACTCATTAAGTGACTTACTGTCACTTACTGGTAGTTTAGTTGAGAAGTATGTTGAAAAGTATGCATTTTCCCCCTCAACATTTCTTATTTGTATACTCATAAATGCATTTAAAACATTAATCTCATAACATTATTTATTGCAGTTGTAATTATTGTTCTTTGCAGTGTAAATTATTTTATCTGACTGGTAGCAGCCCTATAGTGTATATTGAATTTATTGATAAATTGTAATAATTTGACATGTAAGATGATGCATACATCGCAAAAGGTTAAAAATAGGCCTTTGTAAAGGTAAATAAAAATATGCAGATTTAAGTATGTAAAAGCTGATAGAACACTGATGAAAATATTGCTTCAGAATAAATTGTTTACTCCACCAAAAATCTCAGTGATGCAGTTATTTTGCAGGGATATTTTGTATGGAATATTGTCTGCTGACATGAAAAGTTCACTGTATATCGTAGTAATAAATATCATTTATTACAGCAATGATATTTTGTTTTCTTTTTTATTTATACACATTAACTATTACATATATGTATGTAATAAAATGTGTATTTCCATTACAGGTTTAAGTCTTAAATTTCATATAAGTTGGTATTAAAAAGGTCTTAAAAAGTCTTAAATTTAACTTGTTCATGTCTGCAGAAACCCTGGTAAAAAAGCAACAACAAATTCACGTGTACAGATATCCACTGACAGTGATATAATGAAAGTTGCAGTAATACACAAAACTACATACAGTTGCTTTAATTTGCAATGTACCACAGATGAAAAAGTCATACAGTTTTGGATTTCTTTATTCGGTAAACTATTTCTATGACTTATTGTAAACCTCCATACTCTCACCTCAATGAAGAAGAGTCCCGCAGCAGAGCTCGGGTGGTGGTAGATGTAAACGGTCACCAGGACGATGGCCACCATCACGAGCAGAAGCAAGAGCATCCCAAGAATCAGCCCCATGTGCAGGGGGTGAGTGCTGTTCTCTGCTGTACTTTTTGCTGCAGCAGCTGAAACACACATTATACTGTATTTATAGTTCTGAACACTGATGCATTTCAGTTCACTTATACTGTCAGAATAAATCGGTCTGTCTTTGTACACACAGAACTGCATTGCCTGTAACAACCTCAGGAAAATGAATCAAGAGAGGAGACTCCTTTTTTCCCCCTCAACAATCTTTGCTTCAAAAACCAGGTTTGAATCTTGTAGTTCTTATTTTAAACAGAAGAGAGCACTGTTTTCACAATAATTTAGCTATTTCTGTCTTTGGGTATCAAGATTTCTGTGGCTTGTGTATCTGTCCAACAGGCAGAAAAAAAGATTAATGATGGAGGAGAGACAAAGCCGTAAATCTTAATTTTGTATTATGGACATTTCCAGCCGGCCCCAGTGAGAAAGATTTACTGTGGTCTGCAGTTCTTGTTTTTTTGCACCACATCCAGGCCCTGCTGAGCAGACTCAGTGGCAGCCTTTGAGAACACCAAATGAGTAAGAAAACCTCATCCTTTTTCTTACAATGTCAGTTATGGATCTACAGATGTCCGCTGGATCTGCTTTATCTAAATGTTAATCATATAAACTAAAAATGCACTACTTTCATGTAGTAACATCTAAATGAACTGCTTTTAGGTCAAAAACATTTAATATAAGTCAATTAACCAGACTACATTAGGTTACATGAAACCTAATAAGATATTTTGAAGAATGTTTCAACAGTTTATTGTCCATTTTGTCCCAACAACATTGGTCACCATTGACTTTCATTGTATGGAGGGGAAAAAAAATGCATTATTCAACATAGTCTTTTGTGTTCCAACTCCACTTAATCTTTGATTTTATATCTCTGTGGCTCCATGATCAATGAAAACATCTGTCTCTGCACATATCTTGACAGGGTGTCATTGATTTTCTTTTCTGCCGATAACTTTACACTGCATTGTTTTATTTAATTACAGCATCCAGATAGCTCACATGCAGCTCCTTACGCAACGATTATATTAGCACTTCATTCTGCAACAGCGCTTCAGTGTTTCTCTGCAGATATGTGTACACATTAAAACAACCATATAGGTATTTGTTATCTGCATATTGCAGTAATAGGCAGTGTACATCGAACTTAAAAAAAAAGCTGCTTTTTACTGTTTTATGCCCATGAAAAAGACTGTACAACAACACACAGACATAACAAGTATAAAATATTTCTTAAGAGCAGGTAATCATGTTTTAATGTTTATATGTCCAGAGTAAAATGTTACTGCTACAATGCAGAATCATAACTTTAATGTTTTGTAAAAAATATTAACTCATTTTTGTCCAGAAATGTATGATAATTGAATGACTGTAAAAGTAAAAATCCATTTTCTCTATCAAAAAAGCCAAATAAAATGTGTATTATACAGTTCTTTAAGCCAAAAGGCACCAAAATGATTGACAGACATTACAGGGCAGAACTAATCATGAGGCAGGGTTTCTGTTGTTAGTCATTACAGCCAAAAGTGCCCATGACCACTTAAGCATGGGAAGTAATTTATTTTCAATAAGAGGGAGACTGATGCTTGGCAGCCAAAAACAGCCTGGCTTGATGACTGTCATACTGAAACAAAATACACAAAACTGTAACCAGACAGTGTGCTGTGAAACCACAAACAGTTCCACAGTCCCGGGGAAGTCGTGGCCTAATGGTTAGAGAGTCTGACTCGTAACCCAAAGGTTGTGGGTTCGAGTCTCGTACCGGCAGGGATTGTAGGTGGGGGGAGTGAATGTACAGCGCTCTCTCCCACCTTCAATACCACGACTGAGGTGCCCTTGAGCAAGGCACCGAACCCCCAACTGCTCCCCGGGCGCCGCAGCAAAAAATGGCTGCCCACTGCTCCGGGTGTGTGTTCACGGTGTGTGTGTGCACTTTGGATGGGTTAAATGCAGAGCACTAATTCCTAGTATGGGTCACCATACTTGGCCACACGTCACTCACTCACAAACATCACACTTTACCTGATGCCTTCAAATTCCTTTCTAGATTTCAGTGGAATTGAATCATATTTTGACATTTTCGTTTAGCGTCAATAAAACTAATAGCGACATGTTGTTGAAATCGATCATTAATCAAATGCACTAGTTATTTGATTAATTTGGCTGCACTAATTAAATTGGCACAGACCCCAAGGTACCTCATGAAAACATTTCTGAAAATCAAAACACATTTTTTTTTGGCTTTAGCATGAAGGTGCATGTTATTTTAATTCTATACATTTACAACAGACAGTGCAGCATCATCCAGGTGGATGCTGCACACTGGTGGTGGATGAGGAGATACCCCCTGACAATGTAAAGCGCTTTGAGTGCCAAGAAAAGCGCTATATAAATGTTCTTTCTGTCAATATGGGGAGCTGTGTGTACATTAATGAGGAAAAAAAATTAACTTAAATGATTTTAGCAAATGGCTGCAATATAACAAAGAGTGAAAAATTTAAGGGGGTCTGAATACTTTCCGTACCCACTGTATATATATATATAAAGAGCAACAGAGAGACTGTGTGTGATAAGAAGAGAGAGTAGAGGAAGAGAAGAAGAAGGTATGACACAAAAATCTGCTGTTGGACAGGAAATGAACTGGCACAAAACATTGCTGCATGGAAAAGATAGATATTTAAAAAGATATTTAGCCAGAAATAGTTGTACTTGCTGGTGTACGTGTACATATACACACATAACCAGACATGCACACTGGTGGTGGATGAGGAGATACCCCCTGACAATGTAAAGCGCTTTGAGTGCCAAGAAAAGCGCTATATAAATGTAATGAATTATATTATTATTATTATTATTATAGAGGGAATATTATATGTCAGGTGTGCTGAGAAGTCATGATGTCATGAAAGACTGAAGTATGTACACAGACAGCTGGTAACTGATCCAACAGACCTGTCCTCAAAAAAAAAAAGAGGACATATTTCTATTGTGTCAAAATGGCTTTGCAAAATCAGACTTGTGTATTATTTCTGACAGGGTGTGAACTCAATACAGATGGTTCATTTGATGTGAGAAACAGCAAAGTTTCCAGTTTCAGCAAGATTTGCCACCAGAAACAAATACAGGTAGATGGCCATCTTTTGAATACAAAAATGTTTTTATTGTGTTTCCATCATGAGGGTGGAATTAGGGTGGTTTAGATTTGTACGTTTCATAAATTTTACTTTTAATTAATATAATTTTCTATGAATATGTATGCGTCTATTGTCTATTGCTCTTTATATATATATATACAGTGGGTACGGAAAGTATAGAGCAACAGAGAGACTGTGTGTGATAAGAAGAGAGAGTAGAGGAAGAGAAGAAGAAGGTATGACACAAAAATCTGCTGTTGGACAGGAAATGAACTGGCACAAAACATTGCTGCATGGAAAAGATAGATATTTAAAAAGATATTTAGCCAGAAATAGTTGTACTTGCTGGTGTACGTGTACATATACACACATAACCAGACAAGTCAGTCAGTCACGCACACACACACACACACACACACACACACACATGTATGAACTTATTTGGGCATAAGCAGGAAAAATTTATTATTTATCAGAAAAGTGAGATCAGAGTGATGCAACGTGTTGCTTTATAGTTCACAGACACACTTTGAAACCACATGCACTGCAGCAATGCTAAGACCTTACCTCCATTGTCTTTGAGATGTAGCGCAATCTTGGTGTCATCTATAAAAATAGATGAGAAAAGAGACGGAAGGAGGGAGAGAAAAAAGGGAGTAAATATTAAAGCTAATTTTTACATGTATACAGTTTCTCATTACATACAGTGAACTGTGATGTCAAAGACTCTAAAAACACACCCACATCTCATCAACAGCTGTAAATGGGTCGCACATGTGTGTGATGAGAACTTCAAAGAGATTGGAAAATATGTCTGTGATTGGAGAGCAAGTTTCAGATTTGTAATGAATTGTTAATGAGCAATCCACTCCCAAGATTCTTGAATATGCTTTCTAGTGAACTGAAGAGCTCCTGTCTGAGACAGACAGGTCAACATCTGCTACAGGCAATTCTGGTGAGAACTGAAACTGAAGTGAATGAAGTAGCACAATAACAGCTGATGCTAAGGGATCTGATGATGTTGTAGTATCCAATGTAGCCAGTGGTGTTATAGCAAGATGTCAAGTTTCTCATTTACAGCATGTTACATGCTTTCATTCACACACCTGATTTGCTGCCATATGTTACATCAGGGTTAGAGATGGAGAGAAGTATGTGAAAGTTTGTTATTTCGAGATGACTGTAATGATCAAATTCACTCTGATAAAAATGTTAACATAAAATGTGCTTCATGCTGTTTACATTTAAATTCATAGATTTTAATTAAGTAAAGCATATTATTTAACCTCACTGAATCAGCTTCGACACAAAGTTATGCCAACAAAACTACATTTAAGGTTACACCAACAAAACTACATTTAAGGGATATTTCACCGCCAGAATAAAAATTGTGTCATAATTTACTCTCCCTAATGTTGTTTCAAACCTGTATGGCCTACTTTCTTCTGTGGAACACAAAAGATTTTTGACCATACAATGGAAGTCTATGGTCACCAAAACTGTCTGGTTAACAACATACTTCAAAATATCCAAAAATATCATCAAAATATCTTTTGTGTTTAGAAGAAAATCATACAGGTTTGGAACAACATGAGGGTGAGTGAATGATGACAGAATTATTATATTTGGTTGAACTGTGCCATTAGGGTTACAAATGCAGGTTATCAACTTTATAGTGCACAGCAGAATTGCAGTTTTATAGTAAATGTACATAAATGTTTTGATTATTCCATATGGACCTGTCAGCAAACCTCACTGGTCCAAAGTCCTTCCCTCCTTATAAATGTGCATTATACATCAAATATTTTCTCACTGGCAGTGACTGTGTAGAGTCACGCAGCATTTTTGCTTACATCAAGAAAAAAAAAATTACAGGAATTTGCACCTTGTTAGGACACGGTTGGTTAAGTGCTGACAGCAGAACTGCTGCAATAATAAGCAAGTAATAATTAGAAAAAAAATATCACTTTTTCATTTTGACTTTTGAGCTAGACTAACAAGTAGGAAGAGAATGAAATTAGAAGTTTAAATTCTTGTTCTGAAATTTGGGTACAACTACTGCTCCTCTAGATTTGAAATATTTATATGTGTATTCATAATTCACAGGCAAGATTTATAATTTAAGCTGTGTTGGTTACGGTCTGATAATGTGTTTGCACAAATCACAAAGAAAAACAGAGCAAAGCACACAACATGAGTTCTCAGTTAAACAATAGTTAAGTTGTATATGGATGAGGGTGTATTTTCAGTGTGTTTATTGTAAGTGTCAGTGTTTATTTAAGAAAGATTCTTGCGTGCCACAAAGGAGAATGATGAGCATAATTATCTATTGAACCCCATTTATTAGCGAACCTCTTCAGCTACATTATGAATGTCTTTTCTTCTCCATTAATTGATTTTCCCCAAACTCATAAAGCACAAATAAGCCTTTCTTTTTCCATGTCTATTGATTTACGTTGAATCCACTGGTGGCCTCTTAAAATTATCCTGCTGCATTCTTACAATGAGCAGTCACTTGTAACTAATGGTTTAGATCAGGGGTGCCCAAACTCGGTCCTGGAGGGCCGGTGTCCTGCAGAGTTTAGCTCCAACTTGCCTCAACACACCTGCCTTTAAGTTTCTAGTATGCCTTGTAAGAGCTTGATTAGCTGGTTCAGGTGTGTTTAATTGGGGTTGGAGCTAAACTCTTCAGGACACCGGCCCTCCAGGACCGAGTTTGGACACTCCTGGTTTAGATCAATGACCCATTGGTTTCCTAAAGGATTGTAACATCAGTTTCATGTTCCATATTTCAACCTAAGTGGTATGTGTGTTCATTCAGGCATGACAGTACCTTCTGTTGGTATGCTGGTGGGCATGTGTGATGGAGCTTGGGTAGACTGACCCTCAGTAGTTCCTTTGTTCCTTGTGGTCTTCTTAGCAACTGATGCAGTGGTCAGCAGATTGAGATTAGTAGTATTGAGGATGTCACAGGTGTTATCCTTAGTCTGCGAATGAAAGACAGATGAAGACAGGTGATCTGACAAATCTGAGATATGGTGGATATGTTGCTTGGGATTCAGGCATACATTTTGGTACTGTAACATTAAATGTGGCAATATTTTATTACCTAAAAACTAGGGCTGTCAGTTTAACACGTTAATTTAGTGCAGTTAATTAATAAAAATAAAAATAATGTGCTAAACACACACAATTCAAAGCCCTTTACCCAAATTCCATAATAAAGGCAATAACAGCCAAAGATGCCAGTCTGTACATACAGTAGACCAACAATTGAAAAACATCAAAGACACCATCTTGTGCAAACAAATAAAGCTTAAAAAAAAAATATATATATATATTTATAGTCAAAAACCTAAAATAGATCATCATACATGTTACTAATTACTAGTGGCCTTTACTGTACAAGGCAGAAAGAAAACGAGAAAAAGGGAGAGAGAGAGAGCATAGCATATCCTTTTCTCTCTGGAAACTGCAGATGAGTTCGTCCATCATAAAAACATACACACACATCCACATACATACCTCATCTGGGCAACTGTTATCTACCCAGTCCTGCCGATGGCGATCAAAGCCACTGGAACATCTGTCAAGAAAAATTATAACAGTCATTAGTATTTTAAAGACGGCAAATAAACACAAACATGATCTCCATCTTTTATAGATCGCTGACCAATGCAGAAAAATCCTATGAAATCTTCTGAGAAACACTGTAAGAGTGTGTTCCACGGAAAAAAGAAAAAAAAAGTCTTACGGGTTTAAAGCAACAAAAAAGCGAGTAAATCATGAAATTAATTTTCATTTATGAGTCCTCTAAGAAACTTCCATTAAGAATACTCCGTTCACTGTGGTCCAGAACAGGAAATTCAATACGCTGAAATATACAGAGGACTGTCTACAGCAGTAATAGATGCTGGCTAATAGAGTCAGTACAGCTAGTATTTCGTTTCCTCCTCCCATGTCTTCATTTTTTCTTGTACGCAGAATGGAGCACAATGGGCCTCGGCTGCTTGGTATTCCTGACGTCTGCTGAGATACAGTCACCCTTACTCCATATCCTTCAGCAACTCCCCATTCTCCATTAGTCTTTTCGTGATATATTATCTCATTTTAGTTTAGTACAATTCACCATACACACGTCATATAATCTCTCCCTGTGTTTCTTGCTGATATTTTGGGGTCAGAAAAGAAGACACACATTTGCTGCCCAGTCCCTTCACTTGTAATAAACAAACCAATTGTTTGTGTGTGTGTGTTTGTGTGAGATTTTAATTTCTCTTGTCACAGCCAGTCACATTAAACAAAAATAAAAAGGATCCCATTCCTTTTTGTGCTTGAAAAACAAATTTTATTCAAGAATTGATATAAATGGACAAAACCATTAAATAAACATGGGAGAAATACTTTCATTTCTGCAATAAGGTAATATAAACTGACAGTCTATGGAATCTGCATGTCTTAGAACAGCATTTTTCAATGTGTTTTCTTTCTTTTGTTCCTTTATTTATACTCAGCTCTTGTAACATTGTGTGAAAGAGTCGGCATCAGCTAACACAAGACACTGCTCTAAACACATGATGTGCTCTTGGGAAAGAAGCACCTTGACCAGTGGTGGCATAAGGGCACTATAATGTGTGCCAGACTGTCTAACTGAAAGCTTTGGATTAGAGATTTCATGACCCACGGACAGGAAGCAGAGCTGAGCTATGAGTGGCTACTGACTGGAACGCGCGCACACACACACACACACACACACACACGCTCTTTTGTGGTAGCGGCGTTTTTTGTAGTAGTTTGTTTTTTCTTTATTACATTCACATGTATTCATTTTGCTAGACATTTATCCAAAGCAACTTTTAAATGAATATACCAAAAATATTAATGCTAGGGAGTAAGGATGCACAATATATTAGTATCATATTAAATACAATAATTCATTAGGATATTTATATTAGATGTTTAATTTTATATGTTCATTTCCCCTATTTTTACATTTTGATTACCACTGTATTCATCTAATGGTCAAATATTCTTTCTATGCTGTTTTTTAATTAATTTAGATAAAATGCCATAACATGAAAATAATTCTCCGCTTCAGGCCAACAATGTATCAGTGAACCCCTACTAGGGAGAAAGTAACATTACAAGTGACCCAAAAGTGGCCAAAGTACAAAACGTACAAACTAGATTTCAAATGATTTAATTAAACAAATGTGATTTTGAGTAATTTACTTTCATAGCTTTACCATGGTCATTATGTCTGCTTTCCTTTTCTCTCCCAGTTACCCCAAGCCCTGATGAATGATACAAGGAAGACAAGTAAAACTGAAATATATCTCTGTAGATTTGAGGTTGCCTATGGCAGTGGCCACATCCTTCGTCAGCACTTCTCCAACCTTTCATAATCTCATTTACATGTTAATGGCTGCAAATGCAGTCAGCTCAAATTTATTCTGATCCAGTAATAATTTAACCTCGAGGGTGAAAGAATGCTTTTCCAAGTATGCAAATCTATATTTTGATGCACATAATTGTTACTAATACACTCATATATGTTAAAGTAATTTCATTCTTTCAGAGTAATGAAATATGAAAGATATTAAGTGCAACACTTTACTACAGTATTATGGTCTTCTGTTCAGTTAGAGCTTGTTTTTGTGTGTGTCAACTGCATCAGATTAGACTTCGTCTGCTCTCTCCAAAGACAAGGGGTAAATTGTTTTTGGAAGGACCAGACTGTCAGTTATATTAGCTTAAGTCAACTGAGTTACCTGCATTTATCATTAGTCTGCTCTATTACTCTCTCTCACACGCAAACACACAGCCTTAATCAAGCCAAAAAACTGACTTTAATTACTGCAGCAATTTCTAACTATACATTGTTTCCATAACCTTCAGCCAAACAAAAATGGTTATGCATATTGATGAAGTCTGAATATGACTCCCTTGTCTACCAGGAGACGATTCAAGACTCAGTGTTCCGATTTAATTATACAATCCAGCTGATTTAGAAGCAGGTTTCCTAAAGTTGATGGAAAAACCAAGGTCCCACTGACATTGAAAGATGTGCTTGTGCATCATTATTGTGGGTATGTAATGATTTAAAAATAACAAACTGCACTGAAAAATGCTACAGCTCAAAATATGTGTGCAGGACATATGCACTTGATAAAGGGAAAAACAAACTCCTCTAACACAAGCGAACTGGTCTTTTTCTCTCTCTGCCAGTCATAAACTAAATCTTACAATAAACACCAACTGGGATATTATATTCCTGAATCCCTCAGAATATGTGCATGCATGTGTGTGGGTGTGTATGTATGTGCTTGAGAATGAGAGCGAGGGATTGAAAGAGTAGACACATGGAACGATTGCCAGGAAAATAAAGCAAAAGGAGGTCGGGTGTCTCGGTCTCGTCTGTTCTTTGGTATGTGATCTACAGAGAAAAGCTGTCTGGGTTCGAGAGGTGAGGGCCCAGGCATGAATCAGCAGGAATGTGACTTTATTTTCCCTCTTTCTCACATTCTTAGGAAAAAGCAGTCTTGGTATGAAAGATTCTCTGCCACATTTGAAGCACTATTACTTCAAAAAATGCAACGTAAGATGCAAATGACATTTTGTTAATGTTTACACATGATATCTACAATTCGTTTCAATTTTTAGGCCATCTTTATATACAAAGGCAATCTTGTAACATTGTGACTGCTGAATTAGAAATGGTGAATTATCTCCACACATCTTGTAAAGGTCTGTGTTGAGAGTGCTTGTGTTTCAGCAACTGCTGACAGAACTTGTAAAATGTAAATTACTCCCCTCGTTCATTGCACCACCTCAAGGCAAGCGGTCTGAGAACGGCATCTTCTATTCCAGTAAAACGACATTAGAATAGGGGCAAGAGAGACAGATGAATAGCGGTTTGATTTCTCACCTATTGAGCCGGTGACACCAGCTGCAGTTGAAGTTAATCTGTGATGCTATGCAAGAAGTGCAGCTTGTGAATTGAAGACATGCTGCGGAAAAGAAAAAAAGACATAGAAAATGCATCAGCACAGAATCAATCACGAATAGAGCAAAAGGCTAATAGAACAATGAACTGGATTTCCATATAACTTGTGATAAAAACACTTAAGAGGTACAACAATACAAGCCTCTATTAGCTATAAGGTACATCAGTTTTGTTATCCAGACTGCTTGTGTGTGTATGTATATATATATATATATATATTGTGTGTGTGTCCATTGGCTTACTGGGTAGTGGCATCATTTCTACAGCTGTACTGCTAGTAATTTTGGTCTTTAACAGCTCCACTCGGTGATACTCATAGATAGTCTTTCTCCGCACATCTAGAGCCAAACGAACACATTACAATTACCATGTAAATCATTTGGGTTGTTGAAACTTCTGTAGCACAAGCAAACAGAGGAGAGGAACAGCATTTTTCTGTAAAGTTCTGTCTTCTCATGTACGTTAGCTCTTAATTGCCATTTTGAACACATTTACAGTACTTTTAAATTGTTTAATCCAGCTTATTTTTAATGTGTGGGCATTTTTTACTTGAATGTGCAAGGCTTCTGTGATAATCTGCTTCCAGTTATTTTAGTTGTACAAAAACAGTCCGTTATGCTGCTTGAATCAATGTTTACATCATGACACCTGCTTGATGACTGATGATCCAAAAATAAGTTTGACTATCCAAAAGAACATCAGTTCACAAATAAAACATACATGAAATCTAAAATCTGTTACTCCGTTGTTGGCTATTATTTTGGAATAAATGAAAAAAAAATGCTTAAAAACATGAGATACTGTATTGGCTGTTTTTTTTTTGATAGTGTAAGTAATGTTTATTTGTTTATTTAACCTGGAAAATGTGTCAACATTAATTGTAACTGGAACATGAATTTACACTAGATAAAAAAAAAACATAAAAAACAAACAAAACAATGAGTTCTTTGCTTCAGAACAGCATCACTGCACGACACTGGCAAACAGGTATTTGTTATTGTGTTATTGTAATTTTTATCGTAATCATGAACACACTGGTTTGTAGTGCAAATAGTTTTACTATTTACTGCACTTTGTTATTCTTAGTTATTTACCAGTAGCTGCAAATGAATCTGAAGTCTTGTTCAATCAGAAGAAATAGCTTACTTCCATACTGAAAAATCCTTGTGCTCCACAGACACATGCTCTTTCAAACAAGATGTTATCCACAATTGTGAAATTGTCCTAGTCTGTTATCTTTGTATAAGGCATTAATTCATTTAGCCATGTCTATCATTGCATAAATAGATGGAGAAGTTTAATTTCATGTTAAATGATGGGAATCTTTGCCAAAAAAGGGACTAGTAAAGTTGTATGTGCTCAGTAGAGATCTGTATCTAGTCTAAACTGACAAAACCCACATTGGACCACAGCGTGAGAACTTAAGAGTACACTGATTGCATGCAAAGTTATCAAACACTCTTTCCTAGCATTGGGATGCATTATTCACTGTAATGAAATAGTTGAATATTTGTGAATACAGTATATCTGATTGAAAAAAAAACTATTTCATGTAGTTTCCAACGCCAACTAGAGTGACACAGGAGAGAATGTTCAATATGCTCACTAACAGAAGCTCTTATCCAATACACTGTTAAACATTAAAACAAAAAAGACCTGTGTGTGTATTAAACTAATTAAGTCAACTAAAAAGGTTCCTCTAGTTGGTATCTCTTACTCAATAAAATTTGTTACATTTAAAATAGAATGAAGAAAAAACTACATTGCTAAAAGCCAATTCACACCGCTCCAACAGAGGCAGACCAATGTCAACAGCCAACGGAGAACGTTACTTCTCAGACGTTCCAAGACCGACAAATGCCGGTTCAACAAATGCCAACGTTCAATCGCAGACCAATGCCATCAGATGCCGATGGGGTAACACACCTGATCAGACAAAACCTGACGAACGTGTCTGTTGCCATTTGTCAGCATCTGTCAGTGCAGTGTGAATTGGTCTTAAGTGAACTATACATTGGTTATTCAGTACTAATACTCAGTCTCTAATGCCATGAATCCCTACGACACCCTAGAAGACAGAATGGACTTTTCATAATTTAAATGTAGGAGTTGATAAACCTACATTATTTTGATGTGCTTCATCTGGAAATAATTCAGTATATAATAGTCTTTGAGTTAAAGTTAAGCCCGCCATAATCAACACACTCTGGATCAAAAGCATGATATAACTGCACATATAGATGCATCCAGTAATACATCATCTACATGACTGGTAGCTGAATTGCCCAAAAGCAGTGAAATGGAAAATTGAATTAGAATGAAGAGAGGATGGGTAGAGTAGCAAGATTTCTATATGTATGTGTTTGTGTGTGCAGGTTTGATTAAAATTACTACCAAAACGACCTAAAATCAAGCAATAGAGAAATTGTTTTGAAAATCTCTCAGCAAATTTAGTAGTGAAAAAATGTAGTTCCTTGCTATTTAAAAGGCTCATAAATTATGAAATTCACATTTTGATTTAAGTTTACTGATGTCTACAGGTTTGTGTAAAGAGTTGGGGTCACCTCTGTATAAAAACACTCCTTTCTAACAGAGTGAAACCAATGTGTCTGTGTTTGTGGGTGTGTATATGGCTTTTCGCGCGTCACCTCTCTGGATGAATGTGTACGGTAGGGGAAAATCTCTCTGATAAAGTGAATGTGTGTATGCAGCTGAGGAAGTATCTGTCTGACCTTGCTGAAACCTACATCGCTGGAGTATTAATACATAAAAGAGCAGCTAAACTTTAAGACAGGAAATTCTAGCTTTTTCTGTGCAGGCTGTTTTTCTCTTCCTGTGGGTAATTACATTTCATGCCCATGGGGTGTCACAAAAACCCTTAGTAGCATGCTGATAATGCCTGGAGATATGCATGTCTGTGCTTATGCATCTTAAACAGTGTCACCTGATGAGTCTCCAGACACTAATTAGTGAAAGAGAAGCGAGACCAACTGTGGAGGGAATTTTATTTTCTGTATTATTTGCTTCACTGTACTAAAGAGTGTTCTTTAGACTCAGTTTGCTTCAGTATGCTTGAGTTTTCGATGAGCTGAGAGATTACAGGAAATCTATTTGTGTATGTGTGCAAGACAAGTGTGTGAGAAAGAAATTTTATTTTAGTTTCTTAGACGTCCTGGCTACTTAGAAAAATTATTTGCATTAAATTCTTAGAAATGCATCTGGAGGACATAGTTAGGCACCTTAAATGGACATATATGTTGAATATGCATTATGATTGGATGAGAACAAAGCATCCGCATTTGATGAAGGTATAAATGTTGAGTTTGGGTGTTTCCTCGTTGTTGCAATCTACAGCCAACCCTGAATGACTGTATGAATGTAGACCTTTTCCTGCAGGAAAATAAATATTCAAAAGACTTTTGTCTCATACCTTTAATTGAAATGGAAAATTGCCAAGACACTTTCACACTTAAATGGCTGTTAATAACAGAAATGCTCAATATAGTAACCCAACAATCTCTTGTTTGCGCCAGCAGGAGGCGTCAGACGTCAGAACATTAACAGACCTGTTTATCCTCTGATTTATCCACCTTTCACTGAGAGCGATTATGGGCTGTCTGGAGGTCAAGGGTAACCACGGAAACAGCTCCCCTCTGCTCTGGAATGTTTGATTGTGAAGAGGAAGTGCTGCATCACATGATCTCAGAGAATCCAGGTAAAAGGGCGAGTGCAGGGTGTGACCTCTGAATTGACCTTTCATTGCTCACCCACACGACCTCTGTACTCACAGCTCTCTGATTCACAGTCTAAAACCAGAAAGACACAATGCCAACTTGACCTTAATCGTCATGTAAATAATGTCACAGTGAAAAAATTTCTTGATCCTTGAAATAGAATTTCTTTGCATTGTTTGTCATATCCTTTATATTTAGTGCATATATTCTAGGGTTATTTCAGGATAATTGGGTAATTTTTCCCAGTCATCCCAATGGCAAAAAGTTTCCCAATTAACTTGAATTGACCCTTTATTTTATTTATTATTTTATTTTATTTTTTATAAATGTTATTTTATTATATATTTTATTAAAACAATTAAATTTTTAATTTAAAACTTATTTAAAAGAAATAGACATGATATTGGAATCAGTTTTATATTTTATTTAATGTGATTTAATTTGGTTTTATTTGATTATATATTTTTTATTTGATTTAAAACTGTTTACTTTTATTTAAATCCTATTTAAAATATTAAGAAATAGACACAATTAGGATTTTTGCATCAATTTTTTGTATATATATACACACACACATTAAATAATATATAAATATATATTTTTTATTATATATATGGTTTATAATATGTATATTTTTTACATTTATCATATGTTTATATTTTACACTCACTCACACTCACACACACACACACACTCACACACACACACACACA